AAATCTGTCAAGTTGCGGAGAAAAAAAGACCAAAAAAAAAACCTCGCTCGTGGTGCATCAATGTCGTGGCGCGATTCTAATTCCAAAAAAAGACGCTCTCCTCTCATTCAACTTTTTAAACTTTTTCAAAGGCCAAGCATGCAGAATCTGACGGGCATCATTCGACTCATTACGAATGCAAATCATCCAGAATTAGGACAAGTTTTCTTAAGGCTCCCGCAGACAAGCGACCGCATCAAACAGAGCTCTGATGCAGCAATCTATCAAGGCGAAAAAAGTTTGAGATTTGTGACTTACAAGCCGAATCTCCTTAATATAGTCGTCCATCAACACATATAGAGAGCTGGAGTTTGTAGTCAACCTAATTTTGTCGTGTGATGAAAAGTTGGATCGATTTCAGCTCCCTTTCAAAGCCAATTCTTCAGGTCGATTGTTGAATTGTTGTCTCAGATCGATAAGTAGAATTGCTGTGATAAGGATATACATCGATTAAAACCACTCAAAAATGATTCAAAAATCGTCTCGCTGATCCCCAAATCGATATTAACGATTTTAAGCAAAAGAACTGTCTGACTTAATGGAGATACCTCCGCTTTAAAGTTCCAGTTGAAACGGTTGTGGGTCGATTGCCAGCGCACACAAGAATCAGGGACGATTCTCACAGATCGGCAAAACTGTTGTTTTCTTTGTTTGCATCTCCTTTATGTTATTTCCTTTTCTTTTCTTATCTGTGATTTTTCCGCAGAGACAAGAAACCCTCCATTGGTGTCTTGGTAATGGCGGAAGCTTTTATTTTCGGGACCTCGACAATCAACTGTTGACTTACCTACTGGGTGGATGTTGAACAACGTGTTGGGTATTTAGTTTGACAAACATACCGCGATTGGTAAACTTGTTTGGCTCATTGCGTCAGCCGAAGCTCATCGTCCACCTAGTGGGTAAGATGAGCGCTGCTCCAATGTTTCGTAGGGTAGTGTTGAATCCTCGAAAGTAAAAGTTTCCACCTGTCGCCAAGAGGAGGGTGGAGGGTCTTTTAATTGTCTCTGTTGTTAACTGGATATGAAGGTTTTTGTCATACAGTTGGAGGTGCTTCTCTTCGTACTTGAGAGTGGACTTCAGAAAAAAACAGTGGGTCCGTCATGTTTCTCTCAACATTTTTGTGATTCCACCTAAAATGACAGCTGCGTTCAGAAATTTCAATGGAGAAAAACCGATCGAAGTGCCTCTGACTATTTTTCAAAAATTCATTCCACAGTCCGTGGATTGGTCTTGTTCTGTTCGCCAGGACTGACCGACCAGAGAAGAGCAGTTGAATACTGCCGCGCTAAGGAAAAAACGCCTTATGAGACTTCAGGCGTTGCCAAATTTCCTTTGACAAGTTGCTAATTTATAGGAAAATTGTTGAATATTTTTCTGTCAATTTCTCAGATAACATTGATTGTAATTTGATCTAAATTGCCCGAAAATGTCGAGGAAAGTTATTCATAACTTTCCTCAAGGACAAACATTTCATCGGATAAAATTTGGCCACTCTCGAATGTTCATACGGCGTTCTTCCTTAGCACGGCAGAATAGCGTATCGGATTTTGGGCGTGTGCGAAAACAAGCAAAACTCGAGCTGCCTTACAATTAGAACAAGATCGAAACTGAAGGGTAAAGTTGAAGGTATAGATGCTCGATGGAAGGGGAAAGGAACTCCGATTCGCGCGCTAACGCGGACGCGAGGTTTTCATTGGCTGGTCCGTCGCTAAATTTATTCAGAAAGGGTTCTGCCGCCCAGAGACCAGAGCCGCTGCTCTCGACGACTGCGAACCGGGAAAACAACGGCGAACCGCCAGAATAAGAGGAAAACAAAGAAGCGCGGCCAAATCAGTGGCGTGGCGTGAATTGCGATGTATCGATTGTTCTGCCATTTAAACCTATGATAAAGAATCGATCATTAAGGTGTTCGCTGCGAGCACCCTGTTTATCGATCCTTTTCCGTAGGTTTAAATGACATACCAATCGATGTATCGCAAAGCACGCCACGCCACTGGGCCAAATTTGGTATCGCGCGAATGAAGCCGGAGTTTGGTGCCTCTATCGGAAAACCACTCCTCCACCCCTCTCCATGTTTTCCCTCTTGCCTATCACACTTGTTTGACTTGCCCCTCGAATCGAAATCCAGTCTGTCGTTTTCGTGCGGGCGCAATAAAAACCAAGGTCAGGTTTTTAGCTGCAGTTCGCGCTCCTCGTCATGGATAGTGTGTTTGCGGACCCGGGGCCGTTTGGACATTACGTAACGCACAGTGGTGATGCTGCAAGCTGGCAACATTGTTTTTCTTCCTTTTAATTCCGTCGAAAATATCGATTTTAGACGCCGCGCCTTGCCAAGGAATCGATTCTTTTGCATACACTTAAATGAAGGATAGTGGCGTAGCTAGGAATGGAGATGTTGCATGTGTGAGGAATTAGCGATTTGGCTGTTGATTCTTACGTAAAAGTTCGCAAGAGACACCATGGTGCCACTGGTTTTCTCTGAAATTAACTCCCAAGCTCAAAAAAAGCTCTCAAGTTGAGGCCATAATGGAGGGGATACCCCACGCTATCCTGAGAGTCCACCTCTGCATCAAGACTAACTCTCCGTGCAAAGATAGGGAGCAAATACATTAGCAGGGATGCCGTGTTTTCAGTTTTAAAGTCCCCAAATAAAGTTGCAGCCCTGTCAATGTATTTGCTTCCTATCTTTGTATGGAGATTTCGTCTTGATGTAGCGATGGACTCTCAGGATAACGTGGGATATCCCCTCCATTATGGCCTCAACTTGAGAGCTTTTTTTGAGCTTGGGAGTTGATTTCAGATAAAATCAGTGGCACCATGGTGTTTCGCGCAAACTTTTACATAATAATTAACAGTCAAATCGTGAATTCCATGCAAGAATCAAAAGTCAAATTGCAAATTCCTCACACATGCAACATCTCTATTCTTTAAGGGGAGGAGGTGTCCGTGATGGTAAATTTACATAATTTTGTGTACTTACGTCCCTGATAATATTTTATATCTGCCCTCCAAAAGTAAAAGAATGGTACAATTAACGAGGCCAAGGGGAGGAGAGTCCAGACCCCCTGGACCCCCCTTGTCTACACAAAGGAAAAACAATGTTGCCAACTATACCAAAGATTGATACTATGGTAACGCACCTCTCCCATTCTGCCGTGCCAGGGGAAAACGCCGTATGAAAATTCGAATGCCGCAAAACTTAATTCCGAATGAATTCGAAACATGTTGACATTATGTCTTGTTAGACAGAAATATAAATCTAAAGTGTGAGGATTATGATAATTAAGATACACATCAATGAATTCCAAAATTACGTCATAGACAGATGTCACGATGCCGCTATCAACGGATGTCTGAAGTTGCGCACAGATGTTTGACGTCATGAACGGATTCTCCAATGACTGTTCAATGTTTTTTTCTTTTTTTTTTCAATATTTCATATATTTTATATAAGGTTGGAAAACAACTCTCGGAAAAATGGGATGAAAAATATTTAGACATTTTCTCGAGAATTCGTGTTTTTTCGAAAGAAGTTCAGCAAAACTTGGACAACATTTGCCGTAGGGAACGACTTTCTTTGAAAAATCTGCGAATGCAACTATCTGCACAGGAAAACTAACAGCACATACTTCGTACCTGAAATGAGCGGAAAAATTGTAGTCTCTCATTGTGAAATGTAGTTCATTTCAATGCTCATACAGGGTGTCTCACGAAAAACGAGCCACCTTGAATATCTGCCGAACCCGTCGGAATTTCGAAAAACGGTAAAAGATGTGTTCATTTATATCGAGGGGGACACCTTTTGGCGTATTTGACATTTTCCCAAACCGCGGGAGGGGCGCGGGGCGGGGGGTGCCCCACCCGTAAGTCGAACTTTTCAAATGGCACCCCTGCTTTTTTATCTCAGAAATCAATTCTACGCAAAAAAACAAGCCACCCTGTCCAAACCG